GGCCTGCTCCGCGAGCTGCTCGCTCAGCCGGCGGTTCTCCCGCTCCTTCTGCTCGAGGTCCTCGAGGAGGTGGTCGGCCTCGAGGTGGGCGGGGTCGTCGGCGTCGTCCGCGGCGTCGTCCGCGAGGCCGTGGGCGCCGTTGGCGAGGCCGTCGTCGTCGTCGTCGGGGCCGCCAACGGCGTCGTCCGCGAGGCCGTGGGCGCCGTTGGCGAGGCCGTCGTCGTCGTCGTCGGGGCCGCCGCCGTCGGCGTCCTCGACGAGGTGCGGGTAGCGCAGAAGGTCACTCGGGGTGGTGCGGGTCGGGAAGGGCCACGCGCTCGGCGAGGCCACGAAGTCGACCCGGTGCACCGTGCAGGCGGCCTCGGAAAAGATAAAAAGATCAAATTTGCGATCCTTCGCGAACTCCTGGGCCTTGGTTTGGGGGGACCCGGTCAGGCTCGCGACCCCGGAGGGGGGGATCGCCGCGCTCGCGTCCGCGCCGGCGGCCCCGCTCGCGCGCACGACCCCCTCCACCTTCACGATGACCTTTCCTTTGCTGACGTGCTCCACCGCGGCCTCGCGGTTCCAGTAGGAGTCGATCCCCCCGACCCTCGAGCCGTCGGCGGGGTCGTACAGCCGGACCCGCAGGAACGTCCCGGGGCTGTAGGCCACGATGATCATCTTCCCGACGGTCTCCAGCAGCGCCGAGGCCGGCCGCTCCCCCCACGTGCTGGCGAAGGAGGTGCAGGCCCATTCCCCCCCGATTCCGCCCCCTTCGTCCGCTCCTTCGCCCGCCCGGCGCGGGCCGATGACGACGTCGCTGGAATCGCAGTAGACGGAGACCCGAAACTCGTCCTGCCAGGGCGTCTCCGTGAAGGGGACGTAGACGTAGTGGCTCCCCCCGGTCAGCGTCGCCGAGGTCGTGATATAGCAATTGCTGGCGAAGGCGTTACTGGCGAGAAAGGTCGAGCCCTTCGGCAGGGGCACCAGCGCCTTCAAATACCGCCCCCCGGCCGCGAAGTCGTTGGTAAAGAGCCGGCCATGCAGCTTCGGGCGGTGGTTGTGGGCCTCCTCGGCGTCCTGGCGGAGCTGCGCGCGCTGCTGCTCGAGGGCGACGTAGAAGAGCACCAACACCACCCGGCAGGTCTCCTTCGGGTGGAGGTGGATTTGGGGGTTGCAGCGCCAGTCGAAGGCGTCGCCGCCGCGGCCGGTGAACTCCGTCCAGGCCCCGTCCAGGACGCTGTGCACCCACCCGACCTGCTCCGGCACCGTCGTCAGCTCGATCGGGTGGTCCGCGAAGGCGGAGAGCGCGAACTCCGTCTGCCGGCCCCGCTGGCTCGTAAAGGCCACCACCACGTAGGGCGTCTCGCTCGCGGGCAGGTGGCAGTGCAGGACGTTCTCGCAGTTCGACGTGTACTTCCCGATCTCCACCATCTTCCCGTGGAAGTCGAGCTGCTTGAGCCCGAGCCGGGTCAGCTCGAGGTCGCCCTCGAAGATGGCAACCCCCATGTAGACCGCGCTGTTCCGCACTTTCTTCCGCATCCGGGCCTCGTAGAGGGTGTCTTGGATGATAAACGCGATGTCGCTCTCCGCGTGCACGCGGAGGTGGAATTGGGGGTTGTCCATAAAGGTCGCGAAGATCGGCCGGCCCCCGCTCGAGGCCGGCCCCCAGCGATCCTGCACGGTGACCCCGAAGTAGGGAAAGGCCGCCGTGGCCTCCTGCGCGGTCGCGCGGCCGAAGCCCTCCCGCGCGGCGTTCGTCCCGAAGGCCCGCGCGAGCCCCTCCAACAAGCGAAACTTCACCGCCGGATAGCGGGGATGGGCCGCGATCGCGCGCATGTTCTCCGGATTACTACAGCAAAGGCTCACCAGGGCGTAGGTCACGAGGATGGGGACCTGGTGGTCGCGCGCGCCGCCCGCGCTGAACAGCACCTCCACAAGCAACTCCACCCCGCCCTCGGCGGCGATTCGGGCCTGCGCGGCGGGGTCGCCGTGGGCCAGGCGGCCCAAACAATTCGCCGCGGCCTTCGTCAGGTTCACCACCTCCGCAGGGGCGCTGCGGAGCGTCCCGAGAAGTTTCCCCACAATCCCGAGCCCGTCAAAGCGCCGCGCGGCCTCGGGGTAGCCATCGACGACCGTCGCCACGGCCGCGCAGGCCGCCTCCTGGACCTGCTGGTTGGGGTAGTCGAAGATCAAATTCACCAGCTCCGTATAAACGGCAGGGGGGAGGAGGGCTTTGTTCTTTAGACAGCCCCGGCAAACCGCCTCGAGGGCCACGCACGCGGCCTCCTTACAGCGCTCCTCCTCGACCTGGAGCAGGCCCGACAGCGCGCGCAGGCCGTCGATGGTCGAGATGACGTCGATGCCGGGCTCGTCGACCACACTCGCGATCGTCTGCGCCGCGTTCGAGCGGTAAAAGGTCGAGACCGAGTTTTTCACGAAGTGCACCAGACGCTCCAGCCCGCCAAGCTCGCGGAATGTCGATTTCGACTCCGGGAAGAGCACGCAGTGCGAGGTGAGCTCGTCGAAGGTCTCGGGCAGGTTCGCTATGATGCGGCTGAGCTCAGTCTGGCGTTTGAGGTGCTTCCGCGTGCAGCCTCGCCGCTCTACTATTAAATTCCGCTTTCGCTTGTCCGAACTCGCGCTGTCCTCGTCGGACTGCAAGATTTGCTTCATTTGCAAGAAATCAACGGCCTCGGTGTTGCGCTTGTCCTCTAATTGCGCCTCCAGGGAGGCGATATGGCTGCGCATCCGCTCGATCATCTCCTCCATCTCGGCAAGCCGCTTGTAGTCGATGGCATTACGGACGGGATGGAGAACTAACTGCAGGGCGCGCTTGCCAAACTCGATCGACGAGATCGTCTCCCCGCTCCAAAGCGTGCTCGGCGAGACCGCAAGGACGAAATGCATGAGATTCGCCCCCCCTAAGCTGGATTGCAGGAGATACGTCAGCTTGCTATCCTTGTAGGGAATGTGAATCCGGCGCTTCGGTCGCTTGGCTTGCTCCACCAGCTTAATCACCACGTTGCCGAGCGCACTAAGAGATTTGTTGATGTGAATCGCCTCGATTAAGGTCTCCCCGGTGGAGCCGGATTCGTGCAGTCGCTCGGAGCCGGCGAGATCGATAATATTCAGCTGCGCGTGGGAACCTGGTAAAGTAGGCTCATCCCACTTCATTCGCATCATCAGAATCATATGACTTCGCGAGGATACTAAATTCATCTCGGTCGCCGAGGTGCTGCGGTTTCGCGAGGCCTCCACGTAGATTTTCATGCAATCCTCCATCCCCCGCACCTGCCGCCAGGTGGCATCACGCGCGACGTACTGCCCGGTGAGATCCATGCGAATCTCCAGCTGGCGACACCCATCCAACAAATCCTGCACGTGTTCCTGATAAATCTGAACCAAGCTGATCTCCACCTGGACCTCCGTGATGTCGGATTTCTTCGCAAAGGTGTCGAAAATGCCCTTGACGAGGTGTGGAAGAAGCCCCCCCCCGCTGCCGATGGTCCGATCCCCCTCAATCGTGTAGGTCTTCCCGCTCCCGGTTTGGCCATAGGCGAAGATCGAGGCGTTATACCCGCTAAACAGCGTCCGCTGCACCTCCGGCCCGATCAAATCGTACACCTCCATCTGCGTATTATGCTCCTCGAAGACGTGGTCAAAGCGGACCTGCAGTTCGGGCCCGCTGTCCTCTTTGGTGATGTATAAAACATCCTGCCCGCTGGGATCCCGCCGGACGACGCGCTCACTTTTGCCTTCATTTTTCTCACGCTCGTTAAGCGGGCGAATGCGAACGTACACCCGAGGCCGCGAAACAATGCCGGCCCGTGACATTAATTTTTTCTATCGCACAGAGATGGCTTCTCTTTTTTTTAGATAAAAAA